TTTACTCAATATTTTTCTTTAAATTGTCTCAATAAAAAATTAATAAATAAAGCCAGTTCGCACTAGTGGAAAACTTTACACCACCACCATAAACAAAATTTAGTATCAATTAATAATTTTAAATATATGTTGATATTTGCTAACATAAATACTTATCTATTAAAAGTTTGATACTCCTAGCAAGATGAGGGTCCTATTCTAAGGTTTTCAAGTTCTCAAGCTGAGCATTCTCTGGGGGACTTTTTTTATTTTTCGGTTCACTGGAAAAATATTTCATGAGAAACTTGCTTACCCAGTTGCAGTTGGCAGCAGCTGTAAGTGACACTATTACCAGTTCTCAACACACAGAAAGATTAGTTGGGGCAGCCACTCACACCGTTCAAAATAAAATTAGTTAGAGACTTCTTTGGCAGTCCAGTGATTAGGAGGCCAAGCTTCCACTGTAGAGGGTACAGGTTTGATCCCTGTTCGGGGAGTTAAGATCCCACAAGGCATGCAACGTGGTAAAAAAAGAAAGAAAGAAAGAAATACAATTAGTTAGCAGAGAAGTAACACCCAGGCCAGTCTCAACAGGTATTTCTTGGCTCTTTTTGTTCAACACCACCTAATAAAGGCGTGTTACCTGTGAGGGTAGTGGGAAGGAGAGGGGTTAAAGTCTTCCCGTAGAGGGACCATCTCCATTCCTGCAACCAAACCCACCTCCTAACTACTCTCAGCTCAAAACACAGTCTCCAGGACCCCCTACCTGGTGCCATCCATCCACTTTGCTGATTCTAGACTCTTGGGAAGAGCAATTTAATACAATGTCATGTTGTTCTGGGAAGGGAATCAAGTAAGACCTCTGGCAAATTTGCTACAATGGATCAGAAATCTTTATTGGAGGGGCAATTTCTCTCCTAGGACTTTATCTATGAGAAATCACCATGAATGTAGACCAAATAGCTGCAGGATGTTGTTGCCAAATCTGTTGATAATAATGAAAAACTGAAAACAACATAGGAGATAAAAACATGCATAAGGGATTCAGTAAATAGTATGTTTCATGCAATAAAAAACTATGCAACCATTTACCAATGATGCTGTAGAATTTTAGACATAGAAAAATGTTCATGTTATATTCTTAAGTAGAAAGTGCTAATCGTTCAGTCATGTCTGACTCTGCAACTCCATGGACCATAGCCCTCCAAACTCTTCCGTCCATGGGATTATCCAGGCAAGAATACTGGAGTGGGTTGCCATTTCCTTCTCCAGGAGATCTTCCTGACCCAGGGACAGAACCCATATCTCCTGCATTGCAAGCAGACTCTTTACCGTCTGAGCCACCAGGGAAAGCCCCATAAGTAGAAAAGTAGCTATAAAATAGGACATACAATATGTCTCATTTTTAATATATGTACAAATGTACTGTAGAAAGATTAGGATGGATTTGTGTTGGAGAAAATTTTTCAAACAAGAAGACAAAAGATCTAAACCATAAAAGGCAAATATTAATAAACTAATCTACATTAGAATTAAGACTGTTCAAAGTTCATCACAGAAAACTGAAAAGATAAGCCACAAACTGGGAAATGTTTGTAACAATCTGACAAAGATTAGTATTCAAAGTATATAAAGAGTTCCTACAAATCAACAAGACAAAGACAATCAAAAAGAAAAAAAAGAACAAACACAGAAAATAGAATAAATGAATAGCCAGTGAGCATATGAAAAGATGCTCAACCTCTTAGTAATTCAGGAAATCCAAATTAAAAGCTCATTTCATGTCCACTAGATCAGCAAAACCTAAAAGGCTGGACAAATCCAAATGTGATCACTTGCATGGAATAAGGAAAACTCCTTGACACTGGTTTTAGGGGGGTCAATTTGTACAACTTTGGAGAATAACTTGTCATTATTCTGCACTTACTCTACAACCCAGCAGTCCCATTCCTGGATACATTCTGGAGAAACTTCCACCTGTGCACAGGAAAGGTGGGCAGTGATATTCAGGTTGGCAGGACTGAGCCCTCTGCCTCCTGCCCTTCAAAGTGAAAGTGTCAGTCGCTCAGTCATGTCCGACTTTTTGTGACCCCATGGACTGTAGCCCACCAGGCTCCTCTGTCCATGGGACTCTCCAGGCAATACTACTGGAACGGGTTGCCATTCCTTTCTCCAGGGGATCTTCCTGACCCAGGGGTGGAACCCTTATCTCCCACACTGCAAGCAAATTGTTTACCATCTGAACCAAAGATGCCTAAAGCACCTGATAAATTCATCTCCCTTCTACTCTGCCTTCTGGCTTTCTTTTGTTTCATTTGCCCTGGGGTTGGGCCCTAACTCTTGCACAATTCTGGGAGGTGTGATTCAGCCTTCAGTCTTGTTGGGCAGCCATGGATGGGCAAGCAGATCTCAGACTCATTAACTGAGTGGAAGTAGTGAGGTGAGCTGGAGCTTCAGTGATTCTCCCAGGGGCCAGGGAGAGGCCAAGAGTGCTTAGGGTGTTGGGAGAAGTGGTAGGTTTGCTGGCAGAGCTGGCTCACAGACCACTCCGCTGCTGTACAAAAGACCGGGCAGCTCGATATGAAGTCATCAGAAGCATCTCTAAGATACACTGCCAAGGGGAAGAAAGCAGGCAGAACAGCTACCCTTGTAAAGTGTGTATATGTGCATTCACTTGTGTGCAGAAAATACCTCTGAGCCCAGAAAACTGGCGTCCAGGGAGGAGGAGGAGTGGCTAGCCATCAAAAGTAGGAGAGATTTCCTTTCATTCCATCCCCTTCTGTACCTTTTTATTTTGTATGCTGCTATGATCCTATGGGGAAATAAACACAGTAATTAAAAAATGGAGACAAAATGCAATCATATTAAATATAACACTCATGTAACTATTAGGTGTAATTATTAGATGTAACTGTTAGGTGATTCCAATCTGTTGTTGATCACCAGTTGACATAATGCTGCTTCGTAGACACATAATCGAACTTCATTGCTTTGAATTTTAGAAAGTTTTCATTGTTTTTTATTTGGCTGTGCCAGGTCTTAATTGTGGCACGTGGGATCTCAGCTGCGGCATGCAGGGTCTAGTTCCCTGACCAGGTATCAAACCCAGGCTCCTGCTTTGGAAGCACGGAGTCTTAACCGCTGAACCAACAGGGAAGTCCCTGGGAAGTTTTGAAAATATTTTTCCAGCCAACTTTTATAGGTTTCAGGACTCTGTGGCTTCTTGCATTGCCCCTTCCAGGTCAAAGGCATATAGCAGACCCTTCATCACCCTTGCCCAACAGTGCACTGATTCCTCCAGGGCTACTTTGGGCCTGCGTCCCTTTGATTTAAATCATCTTTTGGGTCGTACCTCAGGGTTGCTCTGTATTTCAAGTGAGTCCATGGCCCCTTACTCAGGAGCAAAACTACCCAAGGTCACTTTCTAGACCTCAGTCTCCCATGGTCTCTATGGTACCTGAGACACTCAGCTGTCTCCTACCCCTCCTCCCCTTGCTCACTCTTGTACAGCCCCACTAGTTTCCTTGTTCCTTAACTCCCACTATGGCAGGAAGAATTCTAGATGGCACTCAAGATTTCCAACCCCCTAGATCTGCCTGTCCAGCATAATCACCTGGACTGTGACTATGATGGAGTTCACTCCTGTGATTAGGTTAGGTTATATGGCATAGTTGACTGTGTGATGAGATGGTTGTATGCCATCATTGACTCAATGGACATGAGTCTGAGTAAACTCCGGGAGTTGGTGATAGACAGGGAGGCCTGGCGTGCTGCAGTCCACAGGGTCGCAAAGAGTCGGACACAACTGAGCAATTAAACTGAACTGAACTGTGCCAGACTTGGGACTCATAGAGCTGTGAGCTAAATGGATCTTGTTTTCAGCCACTAAATTAGTCCCTGGGTTGGGAAGATCCCCAGGAGAAGGAAATGGTAACTCACTCTAGTACTTTTGCCTGGGAAATCCCATGCACAGAGCAACCTAGTAGGCTACAGTCCCTGTGGTCACAAAGAGTTGGACACAACTGATCAACTTACAACACACGCACACCAGGTCTTAGTTGCAGCCTGTGGGATCCCCAGTTGTGGCATGCAGGATCTAGTTCCCTGACCAAGGATTGAACCGGAGCCCCTGCTTTAGGAGCTTAGAGTCTTAGCCACTGGATCACCAGGGAAATCTCCATAGAACCCGATTTTTATTCGGGTGTGTTGTAATCATTTATTCACTGTCATCATTTTTTCTGATGCTCATATCATCCCAGTAGCTCCTAGGCTCTGTTGACATGTCCCCAGCATTACTTGAGCACTTCTACTTATTTTATAGACAAAGTAGATGTTCCACGCTTACTGTGTACTTTCCTTGGCCCAGCTCTCAAGTCAGTCATTTTCCCAAGGATTCCTGGTTCCTTTCAGTGGACAATGCTACATTTAGCAACCAAGATTTGGTGTTATGAGTACTCATTGCTATGCGGGTATTAGTGCTCCTAGGTTCTCTTTGTGGACAGGACTGAGAAACACATGTATGGGGCACAGACACACACATTTACATCTATGCTTATCTGTCTACACTTATCAAATGCCATTAGCTCACACTGATTCCTCCAGCACGACTGGGTTCACACTAGCCTTTCCCATTTCCATATCTGTGATTCCCTTCTCTGACCCGTCCTCACTCAGCTGCTTTTCCATGACTGGTCCCACATCCTGCCCACCACCTCCAACAAATATTGGAAAAGGGAAGGAGGAAAGAGGAAGCTGAATTAAAAAAAATTTTTTCTGCACTAGTACAAAAATTAAAACTATAGAAAAGAACATAGTGAAAAATCTCCCTCCCACCCATCTCATTCCAATCCTGGTCCTGTACACAGTTAACAAGTATTACTATTAGTTTGTTACATATGCAAGCTGGTATTAAAATATTTTTTATTTCCCCCCTCTTTTACTCAAAGTATTCCTGACATCCCTTTTATTTGTCAATATATCTTGGAGATCTTTCTGTATCAGTACATAAAAAGTGACCTCACCCTTTTTGTAGTTGTATAGTCTTCCTCTGGCTCATCCATACTTCATTTAACCTCATTTAACTTCATTTAAATGATAGACATTTAGACTGCATCTGAGGTGAAACAAGATTAAACTGGGCTAAACAAGACTGCAGTGAATAACCTTGAATGTATTCATTTCACATGTGTCCATACACATCCACAGAATACATTTTCAGAAGTGGGATCATTGGTGTGACCTTATATGTTTATGTGTTTAATGATGAAAGGTCTCCCCTCTTAGAACGTCAGCTCCAAGAGGAAAGGGACTTTTCTTTTTTTTTCCCCTGGCTGAGCTGGGTCTTCATTGCAGCCGCGGGCATCCTCTAGTTGGGGCATGCAGGTTCTTCATGTGGTGCATGGGCTTCTCAATGGGGTGGTTTCTCTTGTTGCAGAACATGGGCCCTGGAGCATGGGCTCAGTAGCTGTGGCTGGCAGGCTCAGTTGCTCCACTTAATATGTGGCATCTTCCCAGACTAGGGATTGAACCCACGTCACCTGCACTGGCAAGTGGATTCTTAACCACTGGACCACCAAGGAAGTCCAGGGACTCTGTTCTATTCATTACTGTTTTCCCAGCATCCAGAACCATGAGACTATGTCAGACACTCTGTACATATGTATTCACTAAAGGAATGACCAATGCCCTCTGCTTGTGGACTTGACTCTCAAGCCCACATGGATCATTCACTGTGTGCTAGGTGCTATGCATCATCTTGCTAATCCTCCAAATGCCCCTGTGAGGTAAGGACCGTTTGGACGCCCCCACTTTACAGATGAGGCCCAGAGAGGGAACACAATAGGCTGATGTCACACAGCTAATCAATGACAAAGCCACAGTTCCGACCCAGTGAGTCAGACTCTGGAGCCACCAACAACCTCACCTACTGTTCTCAGTACCTCTCTTCTCTCCCCACACACAGCTCAGTCTCCCAGCCCCATGTGGCCCCTTCATCTTGACTCATCTACTTTCCTCGTCCTAGCCACTTCTTAGCCTCAACCCCAGCCAAAGGCACCGGCTCCGTACCCTCAGCCAACACAGGACAGATCCAAGGAGAGGCGCTGTCATTTCCATACAGCTGTCCCCGGGAGCCAGGCCCTGCCCAAGCCCCCTCATTTCCCCTGAAAAAGCTGAATTGTCTTGGCTGTTTGGGGGGCACCTCTCAGCACAGGCCGGGCTGCCTGGGCAGGGCCTGGCTGAGCTATTATCCTACATTATCTCACTCCCCTGCTCCTGAAAAGAACCAGTGCCTGCTCGCCCCCCTCAGCCCTCCCCTGCCTGCTCCTGTCTTTTACACTTAATTACCTCACTCATTACCCCGCAGCCTGCAGAGGCCGGACCACAACTGGGGCGTGAGTAATCCCCACATCACACACCCAGCCAGCCGGCCGGCAAGGAGCAAATTGCTCACGCAGCCCATAAATAAAGGAACAGGGCCCACTCAGGCCTTCGGAGCAGAAGGACCTTCATGGAGGCTGCAGTGTGGGCAGGCATGGGCCCCAGCTTCCCAGTTGGCCTTTGCCAGCCCTGGTGAGAGGATAGCCCCTAGCTCCTCCACCTCTGCTACCCCAGACGGTGACCTTGAACTTCCCCAGGCCATTGAAGTCACAGCTCATTGCCACTGACAGATGGGGCAGCAGGAGCCCACACCCCTTCCTCACCACAGCCAGGGAGCTGTCCGCGTGGCTTCCAGGCTTCCTGCGTGACCTCCCCAGCCATCTCTCACCACCTCCAACCCCCAAACAGAATGCCCCCGTGGCCTCTTTCTTCCTCAGCTCCTCTGCACATGCTGCTGCCCATGCTGCCTGAGAAACTTTCCTGAGCATCCACAGACCTTGTTCATGTCTACTCACTTGAGAGACCACCTCTTCCAGAGAGCCTTCCCTAATCCCTCCAGACTGCGTGAGGGAACCCCATGGACCCATCAAAGCATCAAGCCTCTATGTTGTCACTGGCTTTGCTTGAGTCTTATGAAGGGAGGGCGGAACGGCATACATGTCCCTTTGCCTAGTGCCCAGCCTAGGTCCTGGCACATTACCAGGTCACTTACATGAGTGAGTGAATGAATGAGGTGATGACTGGTAACCTGTCTATGCTGCATGAAGGGATTTGAACCCCCTTTCCCCTGTGACAAGGGCCTCTCCTCTCCCAGGCTATAGGTTCCTGCAGTCCAAGGCCTCTGAGCTCATAAGGGAGGATGATCTAGGACTTCTCTAAGGCTAGAACTTCGTTCCACCTCTAGAAGGTCAGGCTCAGGCTCCTTCCCTCGCATCACCTTGGCAAACACCAGCTTCTCCCCCCTGAGATAAGATAGCCCAGCCTTGGCCCAGAAGTCACCTGCACAACCTCTTCTCTCTCACTTCCTATATCACCTCCAACCACTTCTGCTGGTCCATCACCTCTCACAGCACCTCAGGGTGGCTGACCCAGAAGCTGGCTGTGTGGTCAGCTTCTCCTGGCCTGAAGAACTTCATCTCACCTTCCTGCTCCCCGCATGGACCCAGGATACTGGAGGGAACTCAGAAAGGTTCCCTTGGAAAGGCAGGGAGCTCCTAAAACCTGATGGTCCAGAGTTCATGAAACCCTTTGATATCTGATGAAGCCTATGAACCTCTCTCAGAATAATGTCTTTAAATTCATAAAATATATAGCATTACAAAGGAAACCTATATATTTAAAGTTATCAAAATATTAAAAATAAATCTACATTACAGTAATACATATGCTTCTTGATTATGCATTATAGCACAAGGATTTAGCAAAAAACTGTTGCAATTTCCAAGTCATGATGAGTGTAAATGGTATTTCAAGTTATCTGGAACATCTGTAATGCGACAAGAAAATATCTGTGATTTCTATTAGTGACAATGTTACAGGCCCTGTTAATGCCACGATGATCTGTGGCCTGCATTCATTACAGAAGGAATGATAAATTTCAGAAAGAAGCTAGTGAAATTGAAGGTGCAATCCTTTTTCTATCTCAGTTAATGGGGCCTCCTGTATTATTTCTATGGACCCCAGGTTAGGAGCATCTGTGATGGGGAATGACAAGTGTATCTCAAGCAAACTAACATTTCCATTCCTGTATCTTGGCAGACATCATTAATCAATTGGAGCAGTCTCCCACACTGAGCCCAAACTCAGTTCCAGAATCTATCTCAGCACTATGCTCTGGGCTACAGCTACCAACCAATCAACATGGATTCTTAAGCTGAAATCAATTTGCCATTCCTTGGGGTGGGGAGGGGGCAATGCCATTGTCAGAATGAGATTAAGGGCAAAGAGGCAGTAAAATGAGGTCGAGCAACAGTGCAGGACAGCACAGCAACAGTGCATTAAACAGCAACAGTGCATTAGCAGTCACGTAGGGATGTGAGAGTTGGACCATAAAGAAGGCTGAGCGCCAAACAACTGATGCTTTCAAACTGTGGTGCTGGAGAAGACTTTCGAGAGTTCATTGTACAGCAAAGAGATCAAACCAGTCAATCCCAGAGGAAATCAACCCTGAATATTCATTGGAAGGACTGGTGCTGAAGCTGAAGCTCCAATTCTTTGGCCATCTGATGCAAAGAGCCAACTCATTGGAAAAGATCCCTGAGGCTGGGAAAGATTGAGGGCAAGAGGAGAAGGGGCGACAGAAGATGAAATGGTTGGACGGCAACATCGACTCAATGGACATGAGTTCGAGCAAACTCCAGGAGATAGTAAAGGACAGGGGAACCTGGTGTGCTGCAATCCATGGAGTTGCAAAGAGTGGACACGACTGAGTGACTGAACAACAACAAGAGTACAGGGAGGCATAAAAATTGAACAGCTGAATGTACATCAGCAGGGCAAACAGTCACCAAAAGCTTATGAAATATCTGGACGAGTTATTAGAAGTCCAATATCTAGAATGAGGAAGGTGAGAGTCCCTTTCTGCTCAGCTCTGCTCATGTATTTTGGGGAGTTCTGTGTTCAGTTCTGGACCCCCACACTTTCAGAAAAACAGCAAAAAAACTGGAACATGGTTGAAGGAAGCAGCCAGGATGGGCAGGTATGTGAAAAGCATATCCTGTACCACTAATTTGCTCACCGTGAACAGGTACTAAGACTTTCCTCTGAGTCATCTCGTGCTGGGAGTTGGGAACACCAACAGAAGCAGCCCCAGGCCACTGCCCTTGGAGTGAACTTGGAAAGAACTGGGTGTCTTCACATCCCTGAGGAGCCATTCTGGACCAGAAGGATGGAACTTGTGGTATTCCACTCAATTTGGGAAAAATATTACTACTGGAGTTTCTAGCTTCCCCAGGTGGCACTAGTGGTAACCAACCTGCCAATGCAGGAGATATAAGAGACTCCGGGTTAGATACCTGGGTTGGAAAGATCCCCTGAAGGAGGGCATAACAATCCACTCCAGTATTCTTACCTGGAAAATCCCATGGATAGAGGAGCCTGGCAGGCTACAAGCCATAGGGTCTCAGAGAGTCAGACACAGTTGAAGCAACTCAGCATGCACACGTGCAGCACGCACACCGGAGTTTCCAGACAACGGCTGCTAAGCCATCAAGCATCCATGGTAGCAAACACGCTTGAAGAATCTCCAAGAGGGTCAGACACCAGGATAAGAGGCTTCTTGTGCCCCACTCCCCAAAATAAGGAGAAAAAAAAAAAGGTCAAAGGCCTGGCCTGAAGGAGATGTCCCTGCTAAATGAGCCCCAAGGCCAACGCTGGAGGCTGAGTCCCTGACCTTTGTCCCTGGTGCTTTTGGACACTCAGTATAGAGGCTGCCATGCTCTAGCCAGTATGTCATGGGCCTAGGGCTCATCACGTGACTGTCCCTGGCTACAGAGGACGTGGGGGAGGCCAGTACCGACCCTGCTAGTAGGAGGAGGGGACTCATAGATCAGGTTGTTGGAAGGTTCTGGGCAATTGAAAGGAAGGTCACCTGTCCACTCCAGTCACCGAGGGCTAGGTTCCTCTGCTTTGCCCGGCTCTGTGCTCAGCACTTTCCTTGGATTGTCTCTGTTAAGCATCTCCTCTCTCCGCAGTGTGTGA